GAATTCCCCAGCCAGCCATGGGGAATTCTGGGAGTTGAAGTCCACTCATCTTAAAGTGGCCAAGTTTGGACAACACTGTATTAATACCTTGTGAAGAACATGATGTTACCATGTATGTAAGTCCAAAGTGCAAAAGACTATATACGAGGGTCCCAAACTTGCTATTTAAATAGGAGAGCTACCTTTATCACTTGAGATATATCCATTTGGAGGCATCTCGAGGGAAGGGGGTGCTCAAAAGAATCAAGATGCTGGCCCCAACCACACAACATGCATTAAAGAGGTGGGCTTCAACTGTGTGATTACAGTTAGCATCTTAGACTGCGTGCTATTTATTGAGTTGCACAATTTAAACAGTGATATCTGAGCTAATCCTCAGAAATACATTACAGATAAATCATACTCAGAAATGTCAAAAATAATGAAATGACTTCAGAAGAAAGATATGCTACATCTGGTGTGTGTCTGTCCTTAACTAGCAGTACCCACTGGGACCATGCGCTCACTCGGGTTTTATAACAGCCAAGTATTTTGCAGCTCTGTAAAAAAAGAACAAAGACACCAGTTACATCAGCAGAATCTCTGACTACGTGTTTCTTGTGTTAAAAAACCAGCAAACCATCGCTAGGAAGCAGGATTAGAGAATGAAAAAAGCAGATTAAAAAGCAGAACTGCAAAAACTGGGATTGGCTCTTAAAACCTCCTAGTCTCCAGTTAAGAGTTAAAAACTTGTATATAAGTGTGTGTGAACCTCCTCAACAATGCCGGATCATAGGCCTTTAGATCTTTTCCTTCAATATGATTCTTATGTCTACAGAGCCAAGCTGAGCCAAAATGAACTTTCAGTGGTTCTTTTTGCTAAACTCAACTGTAGTGTGCAACGTATCCCAACTGAATGGCCTATTGTATTTATTTAGAATTCAAAATTCACTCACAAGTTATGGTCCAATTCAACAGTGGCATTAAAAGAAACATTGATCCATTTTCCATTTCTCTCCACTTCTGTCTTGTTTCCCAGTAATTACAAATGGAGCTGGCTTCTGCTTCACTGCTTAATCTGAATTCATGTTAAAGTAGAAGAGATGAACATTAAACTTGCTTTGCGAAGAGTAATAGATCATTGCTCAGTTTAAACATTCTGTTGAACGAGAACTCCTTTGTTTATGAAATAAAGCTACAAGGTGTATGGCTGGCACAGGAATCTACCTTTTTCAGCTACAATACTCAAATCATCAGTAAAAAAATGTCTATTTTAATACCTCTAGCTTTAAACTGAAAATTAAGAATTATTTTTGGTGATGTACAGTATGTGCTCAATAAGTTTTCTGGCCTAGAAAAACAGGCTCATGACCAAATTGCAATTGTTCTTTCAATATCAACAAGCCCAGGATAAACAGTCATCGGTCAAACCTACTACCGATTCTGCATCCACTCTTCCTGACGACATACTTTTATTTGGCAGTTCTGTGCAGAGTTGGGCTCGTTTAAGTCCCCTTGTTTCAAGGAGTACGGAGTTGCGTAAGATCAGGAGCAAGCTAAAAGTAGGCTAGGTCCCCACGACAAGCTTGCCTACCGTAATCTGAACGTGATCGAACCAAGCTTGCATGATTTGACAACGCCTTTGTCAGCCACACAAGGTAGAGCAGCCCTGAAAATGAACACAAGACTAAAACTCAACTTTATTAAGATAGGCTATAACAACAGAATCCGGTCAGCTTGATTGGGCTTTACCTCCCCTCCCTTTTATTCCCCAAACAGGGAGAGGCCAACCTGAATCTCTCCTAATACTGTCTCTGGACTTGAGGAATGCTTAACCGTTTCTGAATATTTGCTTCAAGGCCACCTCCCTGGCTCTCTACAACTTTAGTCTATTCCAGTGTTTCTCAACCTTGGCCGCTTTAAGACGAGTGGACTTCAACTCCCAGAATTCCCCAGCCAGCATAGCTGGCTGGGGAATTCTGGG